CAAGATTTACCCATACCAATCAACTTTGTCAAGAGAACCGAATCCCAAAGATCATTCGTAAATTTACAAGCAAAAACAAAATCAACAAAATTGTTACATATCCGTAACAATAGATCAGACGATAGGTCTAACAAGATTTGAAATCTTATGATTGAAGAGGAAAGTACCTAGATCAGCTCGAATAATAGGAACACAGGAGCTAAATCGTCAAAATTCTTCACCAAGTATCTGCAGTAAAGAATCTTGGGAGCATAGAAATAGGAAATCAAAAACGACGAAGAACGGAAATCGAAGATCGGACAGAGGAGAAGAAGGATTTGATTTTTGGGGGAGTTCTTTTTCTGTGGAGCTAGGGTTTCAACTTTCAAAGATGAGATTCAAAATAAATAGTTGATGTGAATAAAAGATATTTTTTATTTTTTATATATAACCGATAAAATGGGCTTTATTATCTCGTAAATCTATATATGGGCTAAGATTATAATCACTACAAGGGAAGACCCAAACATTTGGGCCTAATTATGTGAAGCCCAGTTCACATGCTGCGACTTGGTGGGTACTCTTCTACCGCCAAAGTGGAGCAACTGTTGTCTGTTGAAAAATGAGAAATTTACATAGTTTACATTCCATAGACTAAACAACTAGTACGGTACTCTTGCGATGCACGTGAGCATTTATTATTATCTATATTTTTTTAAAAGATATTTTTGTATTTAAATTGTCTCATGACATTAAAAATTTCATGAAAATGAAATTTATATGTTATTAAACACTTCCTTATGTACAACATTATTGATTTGATTCTTTGGCACGTAAAGTACTACATAGGTGTTCAAATTTATCCAAAATTGCATATTATTAGTTATTAGTTAACAAATTTTAAGAAAATTAAAGGATCTTATTTATTGAACAAAATTAAAGTAGAAAAAAAGTAAATTTTTTTAGAGATTTTCGCTCATTATTTATTTTAAATCTAATTTAAATTTCAATTAAGAAAAATTGAAAAGAATCATTAGTTAGTCCCGGAAATGAAACCGATTTTTCTACCAATAAACCGATTTTTTTATCAAACAAATTGATCCGAATTTTTGTTTAAACCAAATAAAAAAAATCATCAATTTTTCCTAAAAATGCAACCAAATTTTCCTAACATTGCACCAATATTTGTACCAAACAAATTGAATTGAAAATAATTCTAATAAAAAATTAAACTAAACTATTAATGTTTATGCAACTATCTCTTTCTTAAAGAAAATGATATGAACTTAACCAAAAAAAAAATGATATGAACTTACCAAAATCTCGGTAAAATATGGTTAACAAAAAAAATAAGAACCCAAAAAAATCGATGCATTTAAATTTTGAAAAGTTGCACATAATTTTTCCTAAATAATTAGATAAGGTGAATTTAAATATCAATGATGAACCGCTTTTGTTACCAAAAAATGTAGACACAATTTTGAATGTACATCCCATCCAAATATCAGTTTTATTTTAAAACAAAAATTGCACATGGTTTTATACAATTTACACAATTTTTTTGAAAGAAAAAATTATTCAATAAGATTGGAAGAATTGGTTAAGAATTATACAACTATTTGCTTCCTAAATTTTTATCCAATTTGCACGGTTTTTAAATTAATTTGTATTTAGAATTGTTTTCATAAATAATTGACACATTTTTTACATAAGAATCTTCAAATTTGTTACCAAAAAAGATATGATTTAAATTTTGGTAAAAAAATAAAATATGATACGAAAAATATGGGATTCAAATTTTGCCATAAGAATCTCCAAATTTGTTACCAAAAAAATAAGATTTAGATTTTGTTACTAAAGATTCACATGTGTTTTTTTTAACTTTCCATTAATTGTAAGTCAAACATTATATTTATTTGGTCAAACTTTCTATTAATGTATTTTTCCAACAACCTCTTTATATATATATATAGATATCAAATATATGACCTCACAACATTTTTACATTAAGTACGATATTTAATAATTAAAAAGAGAATTAGTGCGGTTAACTTTGGCCTAATTAACTGAATTACATATTTAATTCTGATATTGGTGGCAATTTAAAAAATAAACAAATCATCAATTCTCTCTCCATATCTCGGTTTTAGTAACAACCCACTCGCTATGTGTAATTGTTTAATTGTATTTTTGTGCTTATTTTCGTGTGTTTTATGTGCTTTAGTTTAGTATTTTTAGGTTCGTTTTAGTGTCGACCGGTCTATTTTATTGTGTTTCGGGAATTTTTGCTTTCATATTGTGTTTTTGTGGTTCGGCGTATTTTTCTTATCGTTTTGGTGTTGTTTAGGTCCACAATATTCGAGTTTGGGAAGAGGAGCCATTTTCGAGACATTTTCGAGCCGTCCGAACAATGTCCGAGCCACGCGAACCATTTCCGAGCATATATTTTAATTGTGCGGTAATATCGATTTGAAGATTCCAAGACGAGGAGAAAAAGATTTGAGGAGCGTGAGTCAAAGTTTCGAGTCGATTGGAGGTCCGTGCAATGAATTAAAGCCTTTCAAAGTCGAGCCTTAGCCACCGGGACAAATTCCGAGCCAAACGCCTTCAATTTTCGAGACTCGCGCCCGCGGAAAACATTTCGCGAGCCACGCCCATTCCGCGAGCACCAGCCTGGTCAGGGCCTCCAACTCGCGCCTGCGAAGTCCCCTTGCCCGCGAGCTGCATCCAATCCGCGACCGAGAGACCCCCTTCATAGCTGCAGACTCGCGCCCGCGAGTTTTCACCCTCGCACCCGCGAATTCCTATTGCTCGCGAGTTCCCCATCCTACCAGGCCGCGAGTTCCCAAGTTCGCGCCCGCGAAGCGCCTGTCCCTCGTGAGTGTCCACACAATGCCTCCCTGCTCGCGAGTTTTGGGCCCCTTGCCAATCCACCTTTTGCTCGCGATTCGACCTAGCCCGCGAGTTTTCCTCATTAAATGTGTGTGTTTTAGTGGGTATTTGAGGTGTACCTATAAATAGACTTGTTGCTTTGTAATTTAAGAACAATTCCTCATTTGTTAAAATTTTCCTTTTAGTTTTTCTCTCCTCCTTCTCTCTAGTTTTCTTTCTCTCTCTAAAGGCTCCAAGACCCTAATTTTTATTGTAATATTTCTCCATCAAGATTACAACTTTCCGGCTAATTTCTTCTCGTGGATGCACTAAAGACTTGGAGACTTCGTTTAAGGTCCAATCGGAGACTTAGTTGAAGGTCCTAGATCTCGTGAGTCTTGTCTTGTCTTTACTTATTGAATGCATTCTAGGGTAAAGGTAGGAGCTTCCATGAGTCGATTATGCTATCATCCTCGTAGGCTAAGGATTATATAATTGTGTTATTGATTGCGTTAGCTTAATTGCATGAGCGAGGATTGATTGAGAATTCGATTGATTGATTGCAAGTGACGATTGCTTGATTACATATTCCCGAACTTATGAGTGTCTTCTTTTCATCTCGGGTCTAGGGGTACCTTGTTATTTTTCTCTTTATTTTCCTTTTTCGTGCAATTTGAGGACTTGTTTGCTTTTGTTCTATTTCATACTTGCGATCTTTAGCTTAATCAATCCATCAAAATGCGAGTAGAATGTTTAGGAATTTTTATTTTTCTTTTGTGTGAGTCAATCGTTGCTTGAATCCGTGTCCGAATAGCCTTCCTTTGAGAACGACCCGAGTCCGGGTAGCTCGGTTACCACTTATCCAAAAAACTACAAACAGTAATAGATGAAGATTTTATGGTGTATTGATTGCTATGTATGGTGTAGATATGATCTTTAGTTTTGCTAATGTCGAGCTATTTTCTTGCCTTCTTATGGATGTTCTGCTGAATTTGATGGATGGCTTGAAATATATCTAAATAGGGCATGTTGGATTTAAATTTGGATTATAACTTGGCCTCTGTTGGGTAAAAATGCACTGTTTCAGCCCCTGTAATTTGTTGTGTATGGTTTATAATGTGTTGTGTATGCAGATATGGAAAAATGGTTGCCTGCTTTCGTTATGCTTCAATTGATCTTCATTCAGTCTATTTGCCTCCTCCAAAACTTGATTTCAACTATGAAAGACAAGCTTGGATAGAAAAAGAACTAAATGAGGTGAAATGAGTATGCTTAGTTTTTCTTTTCTTTATGTTTTGAAGAAAAAATATTCATTTCTATCTTCTAGGTATGTCGAATACCCCTTAATCTGTCTACCTAATCTAACAGGTTTCTGGCTGGTCTAGACTTTTGTTCTCTGAAGTACATAATGCCCTTCGTCTTCTGGTGGAAAGAAAATCTGATTCAGATTTACTTACTAATAGCGTTAAAGTTCCTGAATCGAGACGCCATCTAGCAGATCTGCAGGGGATTTTGCAGAAAGAGAAGTCGGAATTCGAGGTCTGGTACCATATTTATCTATTTTTCAGTTGACATGTATATACTAAAAGCTATACAGCAAAATTGTTGACTATATATCACACCCTGATGTATAAGTTTGACAACTAGGTCTAAATAGGTAGTGGTAAATCTTTCAGGAATCGCTCTGGAAAATCGCGAACAAGGACCCTGGAAAAGCCCAACTGACCAGTGATATTGCCCATACACCTAGAAAATCCCAACCAGCTGTGGATATTCTCGAGCTCAACCGCCTCCGAAGACAACTCCTTGTCCAATTTTATGTTGGGTTCGCCTGTACTGTACGGGTTATACGCAGCGGAAAATTATGTTTAAAAAACAAGTATTTATGGTATAAACACTCAACCCATATGTACATATAGTGAATGCACGAATCGTCATCATTTAAAAACATGTAATAATACAAATTTTGATTTGTTAGAAGTAAATTAAATTTACCTTTGTTCTTGAACTCCTTCAAAATTGAGGATGAATGAGGAAATCAATTCCCGGTTTGGTAACGTCCACTTCTTGATGTTACTCGCTTTAGGAATCCAAATGTTTTCCCTCTAATCTTGTCCACCTTTTGAAATTCGGTTCCGTAATAGTTTCTTCGCTAGTAGAAACTACTCGATTTTTATTCAATAAGTATAGAATATATTTTGAGGAGATTTTTATAAGAACTCTTTCTTGTTTTATATTTTGAAGAACACTTCTTCTTTTCTCTCTTTTTCAACTCTTGAAAAACTTAGCAAAACTTGGATTAAAATGAACATCATGTATGTCCATATTTATACTAAACATTTTAGTATAAAATAATAATATTTGGTGGAATATTTTCATAAAATATTCATTCTTGAATAGGACTATTCCCACTAAATATTGTATTAATAAAAATAAGAATAATTATGTAGAGTAGTTAACAACTCCAAACCACCATAATTAATTTATTCTTATTAATATAAAATAATAATTCTTGAAAACAATTTTTCAAGACTTTATTATTTTAATCTTTTGTCCCATCTCCTCATTTAATAATCATATTATTATTTGAATTTGAAATTTAAAATCCAATTTTAAATTTCAACTATTTATTTAGTAATTCCATTAATTACTAAATTAATATCCAAAAATACAATTAATCAATCAAATTTAATATATTCCTTTAATTGACATCTAATCAAATTAGTTTTGTCAATTAATTCTAACTCTTTAGAATTACTAATTGAATTTTACCTTCATTCAAAAATTGGTGTGACCTTTTAGGTTCACAATTAATACTAGTAGTGGGCTTACAACTCTTTGTAATTTGAATTAATCTAATTAATTCTTATTCATGAAATTAACTCCTTAATTTTAAGAACCCACATATCTGGGAACATCTAACAAGTAGCATGAATCTAGTATTAAGTGAATAGCGAATAAACCTATTTCAATTACAAGTCCATACATGTAAAATCCTTTCGACATCCAATTTCCCGATTAAATCTTGGGTATGATTTTGTCGAAACCCAAATTAATTTAATAACTATGATTTCATTTCAAGTTTAGTAATTCGTTTATGAATCTCTATTCATCCCGCCTTGGCCAAAGACATTGAATTACTAACTATGAAACACATAGGAAATTCACTTATCTTTATAAGTGTCGAATTCTTTGTTGGCCACTGACAAACTTCCATACATATTAATATAATACCCAAAATATCCCTTTATATGATTGTGCTAGCAATCAAAAGGATAAATCAAAGTAAAATATAATATGCACAAAGTTACCATCGTGCCTCCAGTCTAAGGATTAATCATGTACTATTGTAACATGAAAATTCTTATTCGACAGATAAATTATCATTAAGAATTTTCATACGGTCTTATTCAGTGAACTTGTTCTCTAACAAGCACCCACATATATGTATTTGCGTCCCACGCTAATGTTGATGGAATGAAACATTCTTGTCCAACAAGTATACATCATATGTGCAAGTCTTTTTTGGATTTATTCGATATCCCATCTCGAAACATCCAACGACTTGGAACTGTATTTAAGATCACAGCTTTCAAGGTATGTCCATGATCACCATCTCTATGCGCAACCATACCTTATAACTATATGTGATCTACGGATTTTATCTGAAGTGCAAATATAAGATAAATGTTTACTCTTAAAATAAATTAATGCCTTTTAATTATTATAATTCCAATAGATTGTATTTACAAGTAGAATACGTCAAATCTGATTGGAACGCCGGGTATCCTACTCTAACAATCTCCCACTTGCCCTAGTTCCAATCACTCATGTATATTAGACCCATCTTCTCAAGATGTCCTTCGAACACTTTCTGTGATAAAGGCTTAGTTAAGGGGTCTGCTATATGTTTTGCTGAGTCGACTCGCTCCATTACGACGTCGCCTCTACTAATGATTTCTCTAATCAAATGGTATCGTCTCATAATGTGTTTGGATCTTTGATGAGATCTTGGCTCCTTTGCTTGTGCAATAGCCCCATTGTTATCACAATAAATCATTATTGGATCAACAACAGATGGTACTACACCCAACTCTTGAATGAAGTTCCTTATCCAAACAGCTTCTTTTGCAGCATCAGATGCAACAATATATTCAGCCTCTGTCGTAGAGTCAGCAATCGTTTCTTGTTTGGAACTTCTCCAACTCACTGTTGCTCCATTCAGAGTGAATAAGTATCCAGACATGGATTTATAGTCGTCTTTATCGGACTGAAAACCAGAATCAGTAAAGCCTTCTAGTTTCAATTCTCCATTGCCGTATACCATAAACATATCCTTAGTCCTTCGTAAGTACTTAAGAATCATCTTAACGGCTTTCCAGTGTTCTTCACCTGGATTAGACTGATATCTGCTCGTTACACTAAGTGCATGAGCCACATCAGGTCTTGTACATAACATTGCATACATAATGCTACCAATAGCTGATGCATAAGGTATATGACTCATCCGTTCTCTTTCTTCAGGTGTCTTTGGAGACATCGTTTTAGAAAGTGAAACCCCATGACTCATTGGATATATCCACGTTTGGATTCTTCCATGCTAAACCGTTTTAGCACCTTATTAATGTACATAGACTGGGATAGTCCGATCATCCTTTTAAATCTATCTCTATAGATTTTTATCCCTAGGATAAAAGATGCTTCTCCCAAGTCTTTCATGGAAAACTGTTTTGACAACCATGTCCTTGTTGACTGCAACATACCTACATCATTCCTAATGAGTAGAATGTCATCAACATAGAGAACAACAAATGCAACTGCATTCCCACTCACCTTCTTATAAACACATGGTTCATCGGGGTTCTTATGAAAATCAAACGTTTTGATCGTTTCATCAAACCGGATGTTCCAACTCCTCGAAGCTTGTTTAAGTCCATAAATAGACCTTTGAAGTTTATAAACCATTTGCTCACTCCCACTGGATATGAAACCCTGTGGTTGTTTCATATAAATATCTTACTTAATGTTTCCATTAAGAAAAGCAGTTTTCACATCCATTTGCCATATCTCATAATCATAATACGCAGCTATGGCTAGCAATATCCGAATAGATTTAAGCATTGTTACTGGTGAAAAATTTTCCTCATAATCAACTCCTTGTTTTTTAGTATAACCTTTAGCAACTAATCTTGCTTTAAAAGTATTTACTTCTCCATCTACACCACGTTTTCGCTTGTAAACCCATTTACAACCTATAGGTACAATACCCTATGGTGGATCAACCAAGGTCCATACCTTGTTGGAATACATGGAGTCTATCTCAGATTGCATAGCTTCTTGCCATTTATCTGAGTCAATGTCCGACATTGCCTCATCATAGCTTATTAGATCATTATCCAAAAGGAGTCCCTCTTCATTGTTCTCTAACAATAGGTACAGCCTCTCAGGCGCCCTAGAAACCCTTTCGGATCTCCAAAGAGGTTGTGTTTCAGATGGTCCAGTCTCTACTGGTATGTTATTTGTGGTACTTTGTGGAATTTCTTGTGGTTCTTCATTAAGTTCTATGACTCCACTATTCTTTGAGAGAAACTCTTCCTCCAAACATACAGCATTCCTCGAAACAAACACCTTTTGTTCAGAAGGGTCATAGAAATAGTATCCAATAGACTCTTTTGGATACCCCACAAATTTACATAAGATGGATCTCATATCCAACTTATCTCCCACTTGCTGCTTCACGTAAGCAGCATAACCCCATACTTTCATATATTTGTATGAAGGTGTTTTTCCACACCACATCTCATAAGGTGTGCTGGGTACAGCTTTACTCGGCACTCTATTCAAAATATGTGCTGCTGTTTCTAAGGCATAGCCCCAGAATGAAAGAGGTAAACTAGTGGAACTCATCATCGATCGAACCATGTCCATCAATGTTCGATTCCTCCTTTCTGAAACCCCATTGAGTTGTGGAGTTCCAGGAGGTGTCCACTGTGAAATAATCCCATTATCTTGTAAATAGTCAAGAAACTCATTGGTCAAATATTCACCTCCTCGATCCGATCGAAGAACTTTAATACTACGACCAATTTGTTTCTCCACTTCACTTCTGAATTCTTTGAACTTTTCAAATACTTCAGATTTGTACCTTAATAGGTATACATAACCATACCGTGAATAATCATCAGTAAAAGTTATGAAGTAGTGGTAGTTCCCCTTGGCACTAACATTTAGTGGTCCACAAACATCTGTATGGATCAAATCCAACAGACCTTTAGCTCGCTCCACTTGTCCAACAAATGGTGATTTTGTCATTTTACCTTTAAGACATGATTCACATGTAGGCAACCTTTCCTCTCCCCTAAGGTCGAGTTTTGGTCCCAATTTGTGAATCCTCTTTTCAGATATATGACCTAATCTAGCATGCCAAATTGTGAATGAACTATGATTATCTAATTTTCTTTTATTTTGTTGAATGGTTAAGATGGGACTTTGTGGTGTAATGGTATATAAACCATTTGTCAAATTTCTGGAATATATAAAAGTTGTATCTTTGAAAATGGAACATCTTCCATTCTCAATTACGAACTTAAAACCTTCTTTATCCATTAATGGAATAGAAATTATGTTTCTTACAACATCCGGAACATACAAACAATTTGTAAGACAAATTTTTACACCATTATTTAAAGCTAGATAAACAGTCCCAATTGCTTTGGCAGCAACTCTTGCCCCATTGCCCATCCTTAGGATTGTTTCATCATCTTCTAGCTTGTTACTTCTTGCCATCATCTGCAAATCATTGCAAATATGTGAGCCACAACCGGAATCCGTCTCACGAGTATCTTTATACTTAGTAGGGATCATAGCTTTCGACATAGAATCACCCCACGACTCATGGTCGGTAATAAAATATCATAGCATCTCATGTCGTCTACTTTTGATGGAAGGCCTGGATTAATAAGTCCCAACTTATTTTTATCCATTATTGATTTGATATAGAATTAATCAAATTAATTCTTTTTGGGTTCCTTAGATCTCATCGATTACCATCTTTACGTGTGTTTATTTATCGCATTATTCATCGCATGAATCACAAGCATAAATAAACCTAACATACATCTAATGCATGCATACGGTGGGATGATCATGACCTTGCCTATGCAACCCATTCGAGCCAAAATGGGTTTATGCCTATACGTGATAAAATAAATGAATAGAACTACTTCTATTACATCTCATTTTATCTACCCGTACAAGCACAGGCCTTCAAAATTTACAACTTGTAAAATTACCCACACAAACGTGGGCCTTTCACATCGAACGGTCTTCAACCTGATCTAATCTTTTAACGATGCAATAATTTAAAATTTTACAAATCATAACATAAGAGACTCGCAGGTCTCGATAAATTACAATCATTCAATCATATAAAATGCAAACATTCAATTATATTGAATAAAATGCTCATGATCATCCCTTAATATGCTAAAACATTCATCACATGAATTAAAGCATAAAAAATAATTTTGTTTTAGTCACACGACTGGATCACACGACTGGTCACACGACTCGTGTCATGCCACACGACTCGTGTAAAAAATGTCACACGACTCGTGTGAAAAACCCGAAAGCAATATCAAACCTTTTGATAAGTCACACGACTCATGTGACTACTCACACGACTCGTGTGGACCTGCTTTCCATCGAAATTGATCATTTTGATGAGCCACACGACTCGTGTGACTACTTACACGACTCGTGTGGCAAAATCGAATTTCATTTTAATAATTAAATATGTTTATCTCATAAACATTTAATTATTTTGCTTATCTCATAAACAAAAACAAATCAAAATCTGTTTTTAAAGATGAAAACCTTGGCTCTGATACCACTGTTGGGTTCGCCTGTACCGTACGGGTTATACGCAGCGGAAAATTATGTTTAAAAAACAAGTATTTATCGTATAAACACTCAACCCATACGTACATATAGTGAATGCACGAATCGTCATCATTTAAAAACATGTAATAATACAAATTTTGATTTGTTATAAGTAAATTAAATTTACCTTTGTTCTTGAACTCTTTCAAAATTGACGATGAATGAGGAAATCAATTCCCGGTTTGGTAACGTCCACTTCTTGATGTTACTCGTTTTAGGAATTCAAATGTTTTCCCTCTAATCGTGTCCACCTTTTGAAATTCGGTTTCGTAATAGTTTCTGCGCTAGTAGAAACTACTCGGTTTTTATTCAATAAGTATAGAATATATTTTGAGGAGATTTTTACAAGAACTCTTTCTTGTTTTATATTTTGAAGAACACTTCTTCTTTTCTCTCTTTTTCAACTCTTGAAAAACTTAGCAAAACTTGGATTAAAATGAACATCAGGTATGTCCATATTTATACTAAACATTTTAGTATAAAATAATAATATTTGGTGGAATATTTTCATAAAATATAAAAAGTCTTCAAGAATATTTTCATAAAATATTCATTCTTGAATAGGACTATTCCCACTAAATATTGTATTAATAAAAATAAGATTAATTATGTAGAGTAGTTAACAACTCCAAACCACCATAATTAATTTATTCTTATTATTATAAAATAATAATTCTTGAAAATAATTTTTCAAGACTTTATTATTTTAATCTTTTGTCCCATCTCCTCATTTAATAATCATATTATTATTTGGATTTGAAATTTAAAATCCAATTTTAAATTCCAACTATTTATTAAGTAATTCCATTAATTACTAAATTAATATCCAAAAATACAGTTAATCAATCTAATTGATTAATTTAATATATTCCTTTAATTGACATCTAATCAAATTAGTTTTGTTAATTAATTCTAACTCTTTAGAATTACTATTTGAATTTTACCTTCATTCAAAAATTGGAGTGACCTTTTAGGTTCACAATTAATACTAGTAGTGGGCTTACAACTCTTTGTAATTTGAATTAATCTAATTAATTCTTATTCATGAAGAAGACCTGCCCTACGTGCCCGGACCTTCCGGCCTCCAACTCCTTAATTTTAAGAACCCACATATCATGGGAACATCTAGCAAGTAGCATGAATCTAGTATTAAGTGAATAGCGAGTAAACCTATTTCGATTACAAGTCCATACATATAAAATCCTTTCGACATCCAATTTCACGATTAAATCTTGGGTATGATTTTGTCGAAACCCAAATTAATTTAATAACTATGATTCCATTTCAAGTTTAGTAATTCGTTTATGAATCTCTATTCATCCCGCCTTGGCCAAGGACATTGAATTACTAACTATGAAACACATAGGAAATTCACTTATCTTTATAAGTGTCGAATTCTTTGTTGGCCACTGACAAACTTCCATACATATTAATATAATACCCAAAATATCCCTTTATATGATTGTGCTAGCAATCAAAAGGATAAATCAAAGTAAAATATAATATGCAAAAGTTACCATCGTGCCTCAAGTCTAAGGATTAATCATGTACTATTGTAACATGAAATTTCTTATTCGACAGATAAATTATCATTAAGAATTTTCATACGGTCATATTCAGTGAACTTGTTCTCTAACAAGCACCCACATATATGTATTTGCGTCCCACGCTAATGTTGATGGAATGAAACATTCTTGTCCAACAAGTATACATCATATGTGCAAGTCTTTTCTGGATTTATTCGATATCCCATCTCGAAACATCCAACGACTTGGAACTGTATTTAAGATCACAGCTTTCACGGTATGTTCCATGATCACCATCTCTATGCGCAACCATACCTTATAGCTATATGTGATCTACGGATTTTATCTTAAGTGCAAATATAGGATAAATGTTTACTCTTAAAATAAATTAAAGCCTTTTAATTAATATAATTCCAATAGATTGTATTTACAAGTAGAATACGTCCAATCTGATTGGAACGTCGGGTATCCTACTCTAACATTTTACATGTGGGACCACCACCTAATATATGCTGATAATTTAGATAACAAGACCCAACTTACAGACATAGAGCCCACTCTTCAGAATTTATTCGCAAACCCATTTCTGATCTCGAGAATTCTTCTCATGTAACTTCCCTAGTAAAAACGAATGAAACACAAAATAGTTCTTGTGCTTTGGTTGTGGACATAAAACCCGACAAAAGCCCTGAATCTCATTCCGAGTTACATACTCAAAGAACTGAGTCCCTTTTTAACTCCGATCCTGGGGATGAAAGTTCACTCCCGATTTCTCTTGGAAACAATGTCAAAAGTGAATGTGATCGTGAAAGTTCTAACCCACACCCTACCCACCGCAGAGTCCTATCCGAAGGACAGGCCCCGATGTGTTTGTCAGATACTTTAGATGCGGCATGGACGGGTGAAAATCACCTATATGCTGGACCTATTAAGTACAGTAGCAGTAATAATAATTTATCTGAATTAATCGAGGCTGATAATTTACCCGTGCCCGAAAAAAAGCTAGATGTGGAAAACCAAAAGGAGGATCTAAGCACGTCCGCCAAGGTTTCTCGTTCACCCTCGTTTTTGTCCTCAAAGGGTTTCGAGAGCATGGAGGAAGCAGTGGGCTGGCTGGGCATGTCATTCATGAGCTTCTACCGCTCCTTAAACAAAAATTTCCTGGGGACTACCAAAAAACCGGACACACTCAGTGAGTACGTCTCTGTCTACATCTCCTCCTTCCGGGAGTAGAAGATTTGAGGTGGGCCCCCCTTGCTCCTTCCCATTGGGCTCAACGACACTGTCATCCCAATATACGACGACGAGCCCACGAGCATCATATCATATGGCCTCCTCTCGCCCGAGTACCTCGTCCAGCTCCTGGACGAGCCCGATAAGCCAAAGGACATGGCTGACTCGATTTTCTACATGCAATCCCTCGACGCTGTGAACTTTCAGTCCTTTCATTCTTTGTATGAGACATTGTTGGACTCGTACAAGAGTTTTGGTTCGGGGGATAAAATTACCGGGCTGCCCTTGTCGACCTCGTCCCGTAGCAAGTGGTCTTGACCGAGGAGGTTAAGTGTCCCATACGAATAATATAGGGTAATTGTTCCATATAACTGGACAGTTAAATCTAAGGGTTTACCGAGTGGGTGGCTTGCTACCTGCTCCGGTGCATCATTAGCGATACATGTTGCAGTATTTTGTGGTGTAACATCTAGCGCACTCGGTATCGAAGTACTCACTCCCTTTACCTCCTCAAGCACATGTCTACTACTGGGCTTCTGTTCTAAAACATAGTCTTCTTCCAAGAACCTAACATTCATGCTAACGATTACTTTCTGGTCCTCGGGACTATAAAATAGACCACCTTTCGTTTCCTTAGTGTATCCCATAAACAGCCTTACTTCTGATCTAGATTCCAACTTATCAGTATCAGTCCTCAGCACATGTGTTGGGCTACATAAATCCTGAGATGTCTTAGACTGGGCTTGTGCCCAGATCACTCTCAATGAAAGCACCAATGATAAAGAATCGTGTATCTTCCCAACTCATTTGTCTCGAACTAAGCTTTGCCAAGGCTTTTTTCTCGACGATAGGTGTGGACGACTCGGTTATTAGCCTTATCTTCTCATGATTTTGATATGGTTCGGGTCTTAGCCTAGCCAAACTCGGTTTGTATGATAAAACTCTCACGAATTCTAAACACACGGTTTGCTCTTACGAATGATTTTTCATTAATTCGTTGCGTTATCATATGGACTGCACTTAATGGGTTTATACCTATAATTAACTGTCCATATAAAGCTTTGAAGTCCATTAAGACTGCACTTAATGGCCAATCTGGATCATAACTGGTAGTAGATTAATAAAAGGGGGTTTATGACCCCCATGTTTAAGTGGCATAAAATCGGAGATTGGCACGTCTTCCAATCGTGTTAAATTGGAGATTGGCATAAAATCGGAGATTCAGCTTGTAATTTCAAAAATATATAATAGGTAAGAACAAAAAGCGCGTCTTCCAATCGTGTTCTTCATTGGAGGTTATTAAAAAGGGGGTTTTTGACCATACTACCAAAGCTCACGTCAAACTTAGGTAAGAACAATTGCGTAAAATGGACTGCACTTAATTGTTACCCTATTCTCAGATGTTCTTGAAATCTTAATTGGTAGTCTGAACCATATGGGCTACGGCAGTCCACTATCAATTATGTATTGACTATTGCCGACAATTTGGGGTATATTATAAACCTTCAATAGTATATTATGACCCTTAATTGTTCTATATATCTGTAAACTTGAGTTATATTTATCAACTCTTGAAAGTGGACCGTTTATCAATATCTGAGTAATCTATCAAGGTGTCATACCTAAGAAAGAAACCTTAAATTCTACAACGATTTTGATATCAAATACCGTTGTTCCAGCCCATGATTTATGACATATATATACTACATGTTTGAGAGCAAGTTGATCACCATGTTTTCAGGAACTTGGCTTGTATTTAGTCATATAAGAGTCATATAAACTTAGTTTCAATCTTACAACAGAAAATTTCCTATAGAGATTAAATGCCATTTTTAAAGCCTAGAAGGGTTTCTTTCTTTTGATATCTACCATCCGTCGTCGTCAGTCCGCCGGCCGCTATCAGTCCGCGCCTCCCGCCCGTATTTCGTCGTGAGGTCTGAGGCTTTCAGCAACCGCCCGCCGATGGGATCCAGCATCATCTTCAGTACGCTGCCTCGGAGGGCCGTCTTGCCGCCGCCTGGAAGATACGCCATTCTCCGATTCAGATGACGCCGACGGAGCCGCTAGCCATGTTCACATACCTCCTGGCGGTTTCAAACGGCAACGAAAATAATCTCAATCCTTTCGGAAACACCTACCTGCACAATCGATCTGTTCATCCGGAGCAATTTCACGGCCGAATCGGCTGGACGGAGACTTGATGTTGGTTTTGAAATTAGGGACTTGCTGTTGAGAATTTAATAATTCATAGGGGCTCATTTACAAATTTCAATATTTTGTTTATATTCAATTGACCCTCGGGCCAAATTTGTAACTTTTAAAAAATAGATGAAAAATATTATTTTTTCTGTATTTCTTTATATTATATTATATATATTATATTATATTTCTTAAGTTAATCCGGATTGANAAACGATAGATTATATTATAAATCAAAATGCAAAAATGTGCGAATAGACAGCAGCCAACGACTGAATACACAGCAGCCAACAGCTGAAAAAAGTGGGAGGACATGTCAGAAGACCGCCTAGAGTCCCGACTAGCAACGCTAGAATAAAACTTGCAACTACACTAACCAACTAAAATAACTAACAACAACTAAAAAGACCCCAACAGAGTAATACCCAAGTGTCGGATCCCAATGGGATAATAAGGTGACACTCGGGTTCACAGAGGCCAAACGGCCCAGACAAAAAACACGAGACAACAAAGAGAACAACACAACCTACCCAGAAACATAAAAAACACCTAAACAAGCTACAATTAATTAACATCCCTCCTTCAGCAGAGACCTCCAAGATTGCCATCGAACAAGCCTACTACAGGATTAATTCAAAGCACATGAGCCCTGCTCACCACTGCCAAATGCCTACACGGAGACCCAAGCCCCGAAACACTCCCAATAGCAGACCCTCACTCCAACCACAGAAACCACACTCATCCCCAACCCAGCAAACACCACAAGTCGAGTGTAGAGCCAACCCGAAATCACCGAAACCTCAGTGCATCCGGAAGCCGGACAGACACTCAATACTTGAGACATAGCCGGAAAAAGGGGAAGTATCAGTTCCAAGCCCAGCCGCCCCACCCAGAACGATAGAAACAGCCACGACCCGCCAGAATAGATAAGGTACCCGTCGACCACAACCAAAAACAAACTGAGACAAATCGGCAAAAGTAGAAGGCAGCCATCACACAATATTCAGAAGCCAGTGAAAAACTCACCTCCAACAGTCGCCAAAACGCCGGCGGAACAGACCCGTGTTGATCGACGACGTGATAGATCTGAAGGCCAATCGAGCGTACCATAAATCCAGTGTGAATTACCGAGCCAATTAGTCCGACCACAGCGACCAAGACCTCACCCACTCACCTGCCGCCGTCCTCCGGCCAGACTAAGCCTGTCGAACCTCCTAAATGGCGTGCAGAAAGGGGATCTGCTAACCCTAGAAAAATCCGATTGCGAAGGGAACGAGAGGGACAAGGCCGAATCATGGGTGAATGGTGGAGCACATTCTCCGACTATCCCGGACTTCCGCCTGGGGAGAACAGGAAGCGCAAGCAGGAGACCAAGGGCGGCGATTCAAGAGGATCGTTTTTATAAACATTATGCACGTAAGTGGCTGTTGCAATGCACTATAACTTTAGACCAAATGCATATTAAAGCATTAGAGAAAAAATGCATTCGAGAATGCACATTGGCGTAACAATATGCATTTTTTACAAATATTAAAATCTAGGTTATTTCGTTCCAATTTCCATATTATTTACAAAATAAATTAAATGAAATAACGAAACCGATCAAACTATATATAAAAATATTATTTATATTTTAAATAGACATTAATTATTTTATTTCAATAAAAATAATGTAAAATATTATACAAATAATTATAAATATTAATTATATTTTTATTATTTAAATAATTTGATAAATGAACAGTAATGTTAATTAATATATACAATATTAAAGTTTTCTAATATTGAAATGCACAAAAAAACAAAAATGATAAAAAAAAATAGTCACTTAATAGATGGCACAATAATGTTATACTAAATGCACATTTATGTATATAAGAGTGCACATTATCGATTTCGACATTTTATATATTATTTTTTTAATCAATAATAATATAAAAATATTAAATTAAATTAATAAAACACTTAATGTATTTTTAATATAAATAAACATTATTTTTAATATAAACTTAGGGGTATATCCCTTAGAAATTATGTGGCAAACAATGGGATAAGGAAATTTTGTCTAGCTTACTTCATCACCTTGGTAGTATCCTAACGCAATTCTCACTTAGAAGTGGTCTTCGCCAAGCGATCGAATATTTGTTTGTTTGAGCTAGACATTCACCGCGAAACAAGAATAAGAGTCGGAGAGGATTAGATATTGATCCGCTTGTTATCAAAGAACGGATTATGATATTAGAATATCAGGCGGTTCAGTCTCAGCCCTTACGCCTCACGCGCCTCTCTCTCTCTCTCTCTCTCTCTCTCTCTCTCTCTCTCAATTCTCATTCCATCTTTATCTTCTTCTTGTTGCTCCACTGGTACAAGTTGAAGTGGTGTTTGAGTAATACAGTAGAAGATCCATAGGTAATCGAAACCCGATGATTATCTACTTGCAATCGACGATCTACGAGCCGAGCCCAAGGACCGCCGACTGCCGACCCGACCCGACGGACCGACACCGCGATCAGCCGGAAGAGACGAGCCAACCGCCGCGCCGAACCGGCCGTCAATTGCCTCACACGACTCGTTCGCGAGCCCAACTAGATCTGTTCTTGTTCTCGACTTGTTCGTGTATTGGGTACGAACATCCGAGGGACCAGCCAGATCGCCAAAAATTTTAAGCCGTAAGTTCTCTACGTCAAACCTTTAGATCCGCTGCGCATAGGTTTACGTTTGCTATTGAATTCGTGATTTGTACATAACAAGATCCTCACAGATCCCAACAAGTGGTATCAGAGTCCTTGGTTAATTCGTTTTGTACAAATTTTGAATTTTCACAGCTTTATTTGACAAGATGTGTTCAAACGCAGCCATATATTGGATTATATTTGCATAACTCGGTTTTGCAGAAAAATATTTAATCCACTATTATGGCCGACTATGTGTTTGATGAATGTGATGTATGGTTTTAAATTTATTTTTAAAGCCTCGGACATGTCGAGGAATTGATGGATGAATGTTTGTAATAATTATTCGTCCGGGGGTTAACCGGATAGATTTAGTTACTTGTTTAGAAAACATGTACATCCATTCGTTGGATCAAGGATCGGATTATGTAATTAAATTATATTTTTTGTATTGTGATCGTGGATTGATGGCCGGGACTACGAGCAAGTAAATGGCTGTCAGACTACTATAAATAGTTGTCAGACTAATGTGGACATTATATCTTAAACCAACAGTGAATATACAACACATATAATCAAATATCATGAACTTAGCATATACATAAATAAAATTGATCTGAATTGTACTGATGCAACTACCGGTAACTGGCCGGTTCTCATGTGATCACATTCTGGGGGTCGCCACCCACAAAACCCAGTCTTGACTGGGCGATTGACTCAGGATGGAAAAACTTACATGCAAGACCGAGTCATCATAAATTGGACCACGAACGGAATAACTCGACCGTTCGGGTAAAATATTTACATACATACCTCATACATGGTACAAGATTATAAGCAATGTAATACCCAGTGCAGGGCCCCCACCTGTTCTTGTTTTGAAAACGTTTGAAAACTGTAAGTGCTGTGTTGGTTAATTGTATCTTCAACCTACATAAAAATATAAACAAATATACTAAGTACTATGCTCATTTACTCAATAAAATGCTAGGATGCTTGACTCTATTAGATAACTTATCCGGATATAAAGAAACTCTCTAAAGTTCTCTAAATAATACTAAGTCTGAAATTAAACGGATTTACTTAAACTGAACTATTTTGGCTCGGAAAATATTAAAACTTATACTAAGAAAAATCTCGACATTCTACATCATTTTATGAAAATAGCCTATACTACAACTTAGACTATTCATCCCGGCTATCTCACTATGATTATATCAAACTTCAACTTTTAAAATTATTATAAGGCATTTAAACTCCACTTTAATCATAAACACGTAAAATCTCAACTCTTCGAAACCCGACAAGGCTCCGAACATACCAACATTATCTCGTCTTATTATTTAACTTTGAGATTAAAAATCTCAAACTCTATATGTTGGGATCTGTGAGGATCTCGTTATGTACAAGTCACGAATTCAATAGCAAACGTAAACCTATGCGCAACGGATCTAAAGGTTTGACGTAGAGAACTTACGGCTTAAAATTTATGTAGATCTGGTTGACCACGAACGGTTGACCGCAATTGATTGACCGCAAATCACGTCTTGGGTTGCACGAACAAGATCAGATCAAAACCGGATCAAACGGATGCAAACGGATCAAAACGAAACTTGCAGCCTGGGAGATTCCGACAGCGCGTGAGGGCACGTGCAGTGTCGGATTCCGGCGATCTTGACGGCGATGGAAAGCTCTCGTCGATACGGTCATCTGGGTACGCTATATGTCTCAATCGGAATTCCGGTTAGTTCTGTAGGTCAATATATATTTCGTCTCGATTTACCTACAGATCTTCTACTGTATTACTCAATACACCCTTCTTCTACTTGTACCAGTGGAACAACAAGAAGAAGATAAAGCTCGAATGAGATCTAGAGAGAGAGAGGCGTGGGGTGTGTCTCGTTAGAATGAGATTGGGATTCTCTTCTCATGAGCTTAATGATGTATATATAGAGCTACAGTAGGGACCCTTAGGAGATTAGGAAAAGGGCTCCTTAATTAATTAGACTAATTGTGGGCCAAGCCCACTCCTCTAATTAATTAAATAATATTGATGGGCCACCAACATTATATTATTGCACTCTTTTTTCCTAGCCCAAATTACATTTGAGACTCCAATAATAATTACTCGATTTACCTCCCCACGTTTAAGATATAATGTCTATTAATTAATTCGATTACTGACAATCAAGAATTAATTAATTTATTATTATTTCACCGAAGCTAGCGCTCGTCCATCACATTCTTATTATGCTGAAACTTAATCCACCTGCAGGGTTTAGCATAATAATCTTTCATGAACTCACTCCGTGGACATCATCAAACTAACGCACATGGTGACCGTAAATATCCTAACAGCACATCCTATGTGTAATAATATTACCCAAAACAGTAGGAATATTAATCCAGCGAACTGAACCTCACCCATGTGAATCAAATTAATATACATTATATATATCTGCCTGTTTAATATCTTACGGGTTAAGATAACGCATTAATTAACCGAGGCCTAGTTCATTTACGACGATCAGTATAAAATGAACTTCTCCTCTCTGGGATCCTGTTCAATACATAAATGTACTAGTGCAACTCATCAGTCAAGACAAACTGTACAGTTGACACTACAACCGTTCGGATGGGGTGTTCATGTCCATCTAGGTTGTGAACAATTATTCTTGTTCGCAAGTGACTGATAGAGTGATCTTCGGTTCGCCCGATGACGACCCACCCTATCTAAGTGCAGAACAACAGAACGTAGAACTTGTTTAATCAAACATGATTCTCATTCATAAATGGTAAATGTGTAATAACATGCAAAGCCAAGCTTTCAGTATATAACACGAACACTATATTTATCTCATAATTATAGTAAATTTAATTAATCATTCAAACTAAACTCGAAAATAATTAAAAGATAGTAAAGCTTTATACCTCCTCCGAACAGACGAAAAACTGAAAGAATTGAGAAAAACGAAGCCTCGGACGCTCGAACTCGTCCTCGACAATTTCGCTCATTTTGCTACTATTCATCCGTGAAACTCGAGCTTCTCTAATTAAATGCTCGGAGTTCCGAAATACTCGATAAATGGCTCAAATGGAATCGTGCCAAAACGGTCTACACGTCCCGACTTTTTTCTCGGTAAACCGAAATGCAACGCGACCATGTGGGGCCCACGTAATCGGAAATTTTTCTTATCTTGTTAATATACACCCTCGAACTCAAGCTTCTTAAATTAAATGCTCGGGGATCATTCGTTTGGCCTTTTGGTAGTATATAATCAACAGAGCGGCATTTTTTTGGCCATTCTTTGAAGATAAAAATGAATTACAGCCATGTTAGTAGAAAGAATGAAAAATAGCCATTTTGTGGGTTAAAAAGACAAGTTTACCCTTATTAATATTTTAACCTACTATCATCTTCTTTCTCCCTCATCATCCGTCAACTGTCATTACTCTCTCATCAAAATTTCCTTCTCTCTCATCTCATCACATCACGGTGATAAAACAAAAAAATCGGAAAAAAAAAAGTCTAACACAGAACAGATCATTCCGTTCCCAGTTCGTAAAAAAAAATTGAAAAACAAGTTACCTCACAGATTAGTCCCCATCTCGTAAAAAAAAAAAATTAAGAAAAAAAAAACACTCACCAAAGTGGGTCTCATCTCCACGGTAAAAGAAAAAAAAATTATCTCATCTTCAAATAGTCATCTCCATCACCTCCAAGTTAATACCTTTGGAAAGAAAGATACACAAATCTATTTTTCTTTTTAATTTGTTAAATAAATCATTTTTTGAAAACATTTATTGTTTTTGTTCTAAATACCATGTATGAGCTATCTAAATTATTGATTTTCGTAGAACCATTTTATTTTCTTAAAAGTCATATTTTTTTGGAGTTCAAGAAAAAGGGGCTATGTTTTGGAGTTTATGATTTTTGTTGTACCGTTTGTTGAGGCGTTTTTGGAGTTTTAGGAGCTCAAGAAATCGATTTTGGAAGAAGATCTTGAACAAAAAACAATTTCTTTAACAAGAAAGAACAAGAAACAGTTTCTTGACAGTTTCTTGTTCAAGAAACTGTTTCTTGAACAAGAAACAGTTTCAACTCAAGAAATAGTTGTTCACGAAACTGTTTCTTGAATACGGAACAATTTCAACTCAAGAAACTGTGTTTTGTATTCATATATTTTTGTCCAGAAACACATTTCTAGGTGTCAGAATGGCGTTTTCCTTTGCCCATGTTTTAGTTCACTTACTGAACTCATGTAGTGACCTCCAAACTTCTTGTAATTGTGTCACCATGTCCATCTTCAATAAAATTAAAATATTGACATTAAATAAAAAAAATTAAAGAATGTAGTATCACCTCGGCCAATAACAAATAACAACCCACAAATAACAACAATACTCAATCAATTAAGTCATCAACAAATTCAACCAACAAATTCAATCCAAAAACAACCTAAAAACTCAATCCTCCAATTTTTAGTTTCACAAAACGCAACATACAATCTATAATGAGCTTTCCACAGTCCTCAATCCACAAGCTTCCCAAGTGCAAAAATAGCTATAGTCATTTTCTTTCTGTAATTTTCAATATATTCGTTAGTCGGATTCTTCGGAAAGACGTTCCCAAGCATGCGTTGTACGTACATGCACGCTATTACACCACAACTGTGAGTATCGTTTTGTACATATTGTTCGTCTGCTGGCATAATGTTAACTGAGAAAGGGTGAGTAATAGGTTTTCCCCTCAATTTCTTAAAATAGCCCGACTGAAGCATTAACGATGGGAGCAAGTGGGTAACTGGGGCCAATGTTTGCGCTCGACCAAGATTGTCCTCCGAATTGTGGGCCAACGAGTCGTAGACATGGATTTTCCACTTTTTTAAGAGCACACGTTACATACCAAGATGACCTGTCCAATTTAATCCATAAATTATCTATTAAAAACTTTAGTAGAAGTTGGATAAATTAAACAAAACCACTAAAATCATGAAATAATTAATTAATATTATTTTTTTAAACAGTTGCAAGAGACAAGTTTCTTGAGCAAGATACATGTTTCTTGGTCGAGAAACAAATTTCTTGAGCAAGAGACAGGTTTCTCGTTTCTTGAACAGGAAACATGTTTCTTGAACAGGAAACATATTTTTTGAACAAGAAACCTGATTCTTCTGCAAGGTTTTTCTTAATGTCTTATGTTCAAGAAACTGTTTCAAGAAAATGAAAGTTTTTTCACATAATCTTCACCAAAAAATATTATACCTCATTATTAGTAGATGTCATCTCCCCCGTGTTCCAAGAATTAGTGTCACAAAGAGGTAAGAGGTTTTTTTGAAGATCTGTTTTCAAATTAATAAAGTGAAGAAATGCCTCAATTTATATTTTTACAAAAAAGAGAATTGAAGAAAAATATATTAAAAAAGGTACACTTAATATTTAATATTCAATTCCCATAGGCACACACACAAACACACTTATAAGAAAAATCTTCAAACATTTCGTTTACGAAAGTGATATCATCAACCAATTCTAGAAAAATCAAGGATTACATAGTATTACAGGTATTTCGAGAACGAGAGCAAAAATATCCAGAACATCATAATTAGTGTCGTAAACGAAGTGAAGCAAACCGAGCTTGGGTTGTTCGAGCTCGTGTTCGTTTACGTTTGAACAGTCTTCGTGTTCGTTCGTTTATTTTTCGAGCAAAAAATCGTGTTCGAGTTTGTTCGTTTAATTGTTCGTCAAAGTTCGAGTTTGTTCATATTCGAATAATTTAATACTTAAACTTTTTAAATATGTTTGATTAACTCAAAATTTGTTCATTCGAACTCGAAATAAAAGAATAAAATAAAAATATTTTTATATTTTAGATTTTTTATTAAAAATATTATGTAAATATAAAAAATAAATAAAATTATATTGAATTTTAGATTTTTTATTAAAAGTATTATATAAATATATAAAAAATAATATAAAATTATATTAAATTATTGTTCGCTAACATAATCGAACATTCACGAACGAGCTCGTGTTCGTTCGATTATTAAACGAACTCAATTTTCTGTTCGAACTCGGCTCGATTAACAAACGAACGAGCTTTTGTTCGCGAACGTTCGGTTCGTTTACAGCTCTAATCATAATAAGCTCACAAACAAGAATATGATAATAAATGGATAATTTCAAAATCCAACATCATCCCAATTTAAAAAGCTCACGAGCAAGAATATGATAATGAATGGAAATCCCAAAGCATCACAATCTAACAGGCTCACAGGCAATAATATGATATGAATGAATAACAACAACATCCAACTATCACAATCTGACAAGATCACATGCAAGATTACGATGTAGATAAATAACACCATAACCCAACAATATCACAGTATAATAAACTTGCAACCAAGAATACAATACGAATAAAACAAATCTGAAAACAGAAATGAGCTTCGTACCAGAAATGAGAAATTAACTTCAAATGCTTTTGATCCGTCGAACTTGCAGAGTATTGAAGAACCAAAAAATGATCCAATAGCTTTTAACAGTCCGTTTGGCGTGTGTGCACGAGTGCGGGTGACAGATTGCTTACCTAAAGATGGCTATTATTCATTTTTTTTCTTTTGTTTAATAGCTATATAGGGGCATTACCACAATTAATTATTAATTAATTAATCACTAAACTATTTGTCTTGATCTCCAAGTAATTTTGCACCAAGGATGACAAATGAGACTTCAAGTTCCACATTAGCCATTAAAACAGTTTGTGTTGTTTATGGTTTGGTGTTGAGAATCCAATCGCATTCAGGTATTCGGAAAGTTGTTTGAGAAGAAAGACTTTCAATAATTCAGCAAATATTATCACCACAAATATGCACTTCCAGTGACATGAATATACTACCAGCACTTTTAACCCATCAAAGCCACTTTATGACTATATTCCAAACAAATCAACTAAGTGAATGCACCACCAGTTTGACCCAGCAGACTGCAAAAATACTTTCTTCTTCACATATGTTTACACCAAAAGCATATATTAATCATATTCAGCTCATTACATGATTCAGAACACTAAAACTTCCAGTTTCTACAGCTCCTTTTGCACAGTTACAAAATAAGCCCTGCAGTGTGACAAACAAACAACACTACATATCCCTACTATTCTGAACATCCAGCCTCTTGAAAATAATACACATCGAATTCCCCCAATTCTCATGAAATTCTCAATTAAAAAAAACCCTAAAAATCACCTAAAAAACACAAAAAAAAAACGCACCTTAAATCGCCAGAGAAGAGAGTTGCGGCTCTGTGAAGGAGAAAAGCACTCCATGAAAGCGAGCGAGAATAGCCGAGAAGCTCGATGGACCGTGACTTGCCGGAATAATCACCGAGAAGAGCAGCATTCGATGGACCATGACTCGCCGGAATGAGATAGCACTATGAATCGCCGAGAATGAGGATGAGCGGAGAAAATTTTTTGCCGAGAATGAGATGAGCACTCAGAGAAAAATTGTCGCCAAGAAAAGAGAGAAGCACTCTTTTTCAAATTTTTGGAAAGGGGAGAGAAAAATGGAAAAAGCAGTAAAAGGGAAGGACAATTAAGTATTTTTCCAAGCCAAAATGACTATATTTCATTTTTTTTTTAAGAATATGACTTCATTTTTTCTTTTGTTTAAGTGCTATAAAGCACCATTATCACTATATAATCAACCCCTTGGTAAACCTAAATTATAATTTTGTAAACATGTATATCCATTCAACTTCAACTCCAACTCCTCGAGTTTCGGTCTGAAAATCCCCCGAAATTAACCGAGCCTCTGATCCAAGCATCGTGCAAGATGTGCTCGATTAACCTTTTCCGCGTCTTCCCTCCAAATTCCTGCTCGAGGGCCCGGAGCCTGGCCAAGAATAACGAGCCCGCTATAGAGCCCGCGTGGACCCACCTGCAGATCGTGTACGATTTTCTCCTCAAGCTGGTGACATCATCCTCACTCGAGATGACGATCGCGAAAAAGGACATAAATCACTCTTTCATATCAAGAGTAATCGACCTTTTCGACTCAGAGGACCCTCGCGAAAGGGACTGTCTCAAAGCTATTCTCCATAGGATTTACAGCAAGTTTATGATTCACAGGCCGTTTATAAGAAAGTGCGTGAGCAATGTTGTAATAGCCCAATTCTGTATTAATAAAATGACAGTTTTTAGTTCCAAGTTGAACTATTTCTTTTTATTAATACTGCTCGTCTTGAGTTCCGAGCCCAGTTATCTGCTATTCAATCTCAGTTATTAATTCCGGTCCATTTATTTTTAGAAATGGATTTTATTCAGTCGGAATTAATTATTCCAGTTGACGAATAATCGAAACCGAGTATGTTTCGATAAATCGTCCAAGTCTAGCCGTGTCCGGAACCGAGTCGTTCGGTCACGAGTATCGCGCCTAGCTAATTCTCGAGCCCTAGTAGTCTCGAGTCTTGTGCGAGCCCTAGCCGTGCTCATAGCCTTGCTTAGAATATTTTCTAAGTATGAGATCAGTATTATCAAACCTAAGTCATAATTCCCTCGGCCAAGTATGCCGCACGTAGCTCGTGCGTGGCCGCGAGATCACTCGCGCCTAGGGTTCGCGAGTTAGGGCCAAAGCCGTGCCAAGTTTGCACCAAGTCATTACCGGGTGTTAAGGGAATTTTCCTAAGTACTTTGGTTCCTTAGATGAACCACAAGTTCAGCCCTAACCAAGAGTTACCCTCGGCCAAGCATTTCTGAGCCCGAGCCATGAGTCGCGCCCTAGTACCCGCGCCTTAGCCCCTCGCGCGTGTGCTTGCATGGGCCCAAGTCTTGGCCATGTTTTTCCAATAATTTTTCTAAGTATGGAGGCTCATTAGGTCAGCCATTATTCAGCCCAGCATGGCATTACTACTCGGCCCAAGAGTGGCATTTTATTCAGCCCAAGCTCTAGTGTCCCGCGCCCAGCAGGCCGCGCCCGTGTCCCTCGCCCCAGGCCCAGCGGCAGCATGGTGGTCCATCTTCTCGAGCCCAATGTAGAGTTTTTCGGCCCAGTTCTCCAGGGCCCAACTTCATGCGTGTATTAGGGGTGGATTAGGGACTAATTCAGCTAATATTGCCCTAAGCAAGTTTAAGGAATGGTCACCTATCATTAAGCCACTGTGGAGCATGTGCAAACTAATATTATAATGTTAGTGGGTTTGGAATTGTCCCCCACCCACCTCCAGCCGACCAGAATCCTTCTCCACCCAACATGACCTGCCAAAACCACAAGGATTCCCCTACAAGACCGTGCCAAACCAGTCCCAAGGTAAGATCCTCCATGCCTTGTGCGTGAATTGAGCGAGTGGGCATTTTGTGTCCCCCATCTTGTGTCTTTATTCTCTCCGCCCAGCTCCACCTATTTAAGACGATCATTAGCTGAGTGTTGAAGCTCTTAGTCATTGGAGAAGTCCCAACACTTAAGAATTTTGAGGGCAAAACCGAGAGCAAGTGTCAACCCCTTAGCGCGCGCGAGTGTGACCCGAGAAGGAGGAGCTCGGGTTCAGCTTGGTCCAGCAGGATTCTCTCGAGCCTTATGATCATCCAAGTATTTATTGGATTTTTATAAGTCTCCAGAGTTCATCCCTTCAGCCATATTAGCTCCAAGCCGAGCCTAAGGACCATTGACCGCGGGTGAGCCCTAGAAGGCCACTCTTGCACCATTTCGTGTTCGAGCAAGGTAAGCTCCTACCTATCATTTTTCTCAGCTTATTCATGATAAAATAATAATTATCATGTGGAGAAATGATGCCATGCATGTTCATATGAGGGAGTTCTGAATTTTTGAACATATGACCCTAATTTCGTAAGTTTATGTACATGCATGATATGGCTGAGTTTGATGGCTTAAAAATTATGAGTATGACTTGGTTAAAAGATTAGCATGCTTTGAGTTCATTTGTTCGGTCAAATTGTTAAGTGAAATCGAGCCATTTTCACCTCCGAACCCAAGTCTATATGCATGCATGATATAGCCAATGTCCTAGCCTCAATAGCATTGATTTTTGATGTATATCTTTCGGCCCTAAGTCATTTTGCATGTTGAGCATGTTCATTTTCGTGCCCTAGTGTGGCCTCGTGCCTAATCGGCACTATAAGCCCATCCCCAAATCCAACCGAGGTTCCTTAGTGACTTTTGACATTTTTGAGTATATTACGTCATAATATGTTGGGTTGGTTCAGTAGTCACCGAAAAAGTTGCCGGAAGTTCGGCAAAGGACCGACTAGGGTCACCAGCCGCGCCAGTCGCAGAGGACAGACAGTGCTTCTGTCCGTGCCCGCGCCTAGCGCCTAGCGCTCGCGAGGCACCTCTCAGTTGACCTCGACTGTGCCTAGTAGCACCCGAGTGGCACCAGTTGTGCCCGTGGCCGTGCCCAGCAGCACCCGAGTGGCCCCAGTGTGCCAAGGCCGTGCCAGCCAAGCCTGGCCGTGCCTGTCCGCGCCCAGTAGAGCCTAGTGCCAAGGCCGGTCGCACCCAGCTCATGCCCAGCGCCGTGCCAGGGCCCCAGCAGGCCCGGCACGGGACCGAACCCGGCCAGTGCGAGTAGCCCGTGACCACTCGGTCCAGAGTGAACCAGTGGTCCGACCCGGTCCGGTTCAGCCCGACCCGGTTCATCCAGTTAGCGAACCGGCCGGTTTAGCCGGCGGTTCGAGTCTATTTTGGTTCGTGATTTTCGGTCCGAGTTTTATTCCAAAATCTAAGTGATTTTCCGAGCCAAACCAGATCAGTTGAGCTTATCAGTCTAATTTCCGGACTTAAAATTATTTTAGTGAACCCATAGAGCGTTCCTTCATATCCGGATGAGTAATCTGATAGAGTAGAGCATCCTAGCATATTATTGAGCATATGACGAGCATAGTATTTGGTATATTTGTTTGCTTATATTTGTATGTAGCTTGAGGAGTCAGCTACCAGCACAGCCGCACTTACCCATTTTCAAAGCAGATCAGGTGGGGACCCAGTCCGGGTTATACATTGAGTATAATAGTCGATATCACGTTCAAGTATGTATATGAGTTTTATCCGCTTGGGGTTAAGGCCGAGTTGTCCTTCCCTAAGTTCTGGTGGTGGCCCAGTTCGCCTTAAATATACCATCAGAGTGTGCACACGGTACCGGCCAGAGTGTCCGGGAGTTACCGGCCAGAGTGTCCGGGAGATTACAGTTACCGGCCAGAGTGTCCGGGAGTTTCAGTTACTTATATATACCAGATCTGTGATATCGTTATTATTATTGTTGTTTACTTTAGAATGGGTTTTTATGGAGTACAAGTGGACCGTACTCACCCCCACTTTATATTTTCAGATGGCAGGGTCGGCGTGCAGGCGTGAGTCCAGCTGTGGTGGTTGTGGTCGTGAGTTCCGCACGAAAGTTGTTCCCAGGACATTTGTTATCGTTTTGTATAACTAATATTTCCACGCATTTTCACATTTTCCGCTATGCTTTCCTTTATTTTGAACTTGCATGACAGTACACTCAGACTTAAATAATCTACCCAGTTCACCAGTACGAACGGGACTAGTTAAAATGCAAGATTCGATAAAAGATTTAAATCTGATTTTCTTAAAGTCTAAACCAGTTGATAGACCTAGTTACGGAAAACAGATTTTCAAAGCAAATAAGTTTTTAGCGGCATCCTGAGATACGTTTGCAAATGATTGCGAAAAATTTATAAGCGTTTTCGAAGGTCAAAGTTTGCGAAAAATTGGCCCTAAGTAGCGGGGTGTTGCAGTTTGGTATCAGAGCACTGTTTGTGCTTCTGAATGTTTTAAAAGACAGGAAATTTTACAAAACCCGACCACACCACACTCACGCCGCGCCGACTACCAGCTAAGTGCATGCTGTAAAAGTTTTTCAAAGTTTATATAAGCAAACTGTACTATGTCTATGCTCAATAGGATTCAGATAATCCGAACTTTAGATGCTCAAACTAGTATAAGACTCCTAGTAGTATCAGATATGTCCTCTATCAGAATTCAGAACTCTAGATTGGAATTCTAGATTATCGAGTTATTTTCAGCAACTCGTCAAGAAATTTGTGCCTATTCCAGTATTCAGCGTTCCCTTTCAGCCTTATTCAATTTCATCTCCTGTTCTGACCAGTTACGCGGCTTATTCTCAGATGGCCCGTCGTCCAAACCAAGCTCAGAGAGAGATGACCCAGGCTGAGGTAGTCGCCCAGTTTCGCGGCTACAACCCAGATAAGTTTTCGGGGCAGGGAGATCCTCGCCTAGTTGATGAGTGGATCCAGGGTCTCGAGGCCATTTTCGAGATCATTGAGTGCTCCGAGAGGCACAACATTCTATGTGCCCAGGTCCAGATGACAGGAGACGCCAGGCTGTGGTGGAACTCCTACTGGGGCTTGTGCCCTAGTGAGAGGAGGACCTCACATGGCCACAGTTCAAGGAGATGCTGCGGGAGAAGTATTACCCGGATACCTACAAGGCTGAGATGGAGCGCCAGTTCTTGGCGCTTAAGCAGGGCCACCGCTCCGTGGATGAGTACGAGCGGGAGTTTGTTCGTCTCGGGTCCTTTGTCCCTTATCTGGTGGACACCGAGAAGAAAAAAGCGAGACGATTCTGTGATGGATTACTGCCAGCTATCCGTCTACGCCGATGTCGTCGCTAAGGCCCAAGAGACAGACTCCAGTCTCAGGATGGACCTGGTGCAGCCATCAGCTCAGTCCCCAGTGTTGCCCCCAGCTCAGTATCCGGCATTGCCCCCAGCTTAGCCGGCGCCTGTCCAACAGGCGAAGCCTAAGAACAAGAGGAAGTGGAAGGGTCAGCAGAAAGACCGGAGGAACAGACAGAGACAGCCACAGGTCCCAGCATGTGGCACATGCGGACGCCCACACCGCGGAGAGTGTCTTGCTGGGCAGAACGTCTACTTTCATTGTCGGAGGCCCGGACATACCGTCCGGAACTGTCCGGATAGGCCGGAGCAGCAGCAGCAGCAGAGGCAGCCTCAGCAGCAGAGGCG